TTATTTGATATATATATATATATATATATATAAGAAGGGTAATTCGTCCTCAGGATATAGGTAAACAGAGATGTCTTTCTCAATATTCCTAAGCTCTATGTACCCAAGCTTGAAATCCACACAATAGACACCAGAGTTTTGATAGTTTAGAGAGATAAAATCGAGTAGAGAGAGAGAATAAGCCTACTGGTATTCCTTACTAGAATTGCAGAAAATGGCTTATTGAGAGAGGTTCCAAAATTGTTCTAAGTGTACAAAATCATATAAGTAGGAGGCCTTCTGTTATAAAGCACCAAGAGGCTGCCCACAGCTACAAGTTACATATACTTGATAGCCTATGAGCCAGGCTCACAAAAAATATAAGCCACAAGCGCTCTTGCTCTCATGCCCTCGCACACACGCATACGTCGTATGTTTTGTGTGCTCTGCACATGTGTCTTCTCTCTCATTTGTATTTAGAGTATATTGTATGAGAATGCATTCTCTTAAATATAGCTCAACAAACTCTCTCATCTTCAATGTGGGACTCAAACCCACATCTTTTTCTCTCTACAAAGCAATTTAGGAAAACAATAAAACCAAAGTTGCTGTTTTAAAATACACTTAAGTATTTTTCAAATAAAAAATACTAACACAGGGAGGTCAAAATTACTTTACCATTTGATGTGAAATCTGATAGTGTGTTGTAAAGTTCAAAAAATATTTTTTTAAACTTTGAGCTTGGTCAAAAAAATAAATGCAGCCACCTAATTTTAAATCCAATGGTCAAGATTAATTGTTACCACCTTGTACCAAAAGTTAATAGTCTCATTATATACTTTTCCAAAAAAAAAAAATTAAGAGAAAAGGAAATGCTAATATGATTGAATATCCCATTAGTTTTTTCTGTCAAAAAAAAGAGGAAATGCTAATGTGATTAGGAATAATTCTTTAGAAATTTTTGGTAGATTTAATATCATTTGAGAACCTTCATCGTTTTCTCCTTTTGAACATTTTTCTAAAAGGGAGAAATAATGCCTTTAAAATAACCTATTATAGCTTTTTTCCGTTGTATTTAGTCTTTTCAGGATTCTATTTCTCGTTTTAATTTTTTGTTTTAAATTTTTTTGGAGATCTTTTATCCACTTTTTAGTTTTTTTTTTACCCTTTTTTTAGGGTGTACCGGTCATGTTACATGGCTTAGCCAAGGCTAAGTAATTTGGCAGAGTCAATTTTCTATACAATGGAGAAAACCTTCACAATTTTGCTATTCAACCCTAACTCATAAGGAAAAAGTTTATATAAGATGTCAACTTTATTCTATACAAGTAAGGTGGACCTCAAAACTCATCGAAAATGGTTGTTTCATCATTAGAAAAACTTTCAATTGATCATCTCGACTTCAATACATATGAATATGAAAGAAAAATTGAATTTCAAGTATCAATAATAGTACATCTTGTAACACATTATCTAAACCGTCTATTATCAAGATATTTAAGTATTCTAGATTTGCTAGATCTGCAATATTTTTGGAGTTTTCAGTTTCATAATAAGGGTAAAAAACATATTTTAAGACGATCATAAGAGTTTTGATGCCTAAAATACATCTAATAACAAGAGTTTGGGGTGCACCTTACTTTGATGGTTTAAGGTTGACACTTATACAAACCTCACCCATTTCATAGTGTCATAGTCAGGTGGCGTGCTCACCGCCACCTTGACTCCGGCTCGCGACATTGCCTTGTCAGGTCCGTTAACCCAGCAAGCCCGAGCCGACTCGCCCGAGTCCTATCCGAGTGGAGTTTCTAATTGATTGCATGAGGCACCAAAATTAACTTCCCTTTCTAATTGATTGCATGAGGGACCAACACCAAGCCAACAAATGCTCATTACAACATCTATCTCAATTCCCTCCAAGTGACCCTCTTCTTCTCGTTAAGTTACTCAAATACCCCTATAATTATTAAGGTCGAAGCGGGTATAGTATCAATATCTAAGAAGGGGAGAACTTGTCTATGAGTCGCGGGACACATACAGTTCTTGGCCCATCAAACGTCCATAT